AATTATTAAAACATGCCCAAAATGAAAATAGGAAATTAAGGAGGGCAGAAGAAGAGGCTAATTGTTTAGTTACTAAATTTTTAGAACTATAAGCAGCAACTTTTTCAGTGCAAGCTATTTTTTTCTAAGCATAAGAGGTGCTGATTAATTTGAGAAATAAGAGTGTACAGCAAAATTTAAGCCGTGTAAAAGTGAATGTATGTTCAACCATATCTTTAAAAGTACTTTCTCCTTCCTCTTCCTTTTTTTTTTTTCTTTAAATCAAGTCATCTCAGTTGATCCATCAAGTAGTTTGGCTACTCATCTTAAAAAAGCAGGAAGTAGTTGCTTTTCTCTGCAAGTCACTCATCTGCAGTTAGTGGTTTATATGTGCCGGCTTTGTTTGACCAGCAGATGGGAGTAAAGTGGAATAAATATAACAAGTTGTTCTGAAATAATAAAGAAGGGATAAATCTTTTTAAGATGAAAGGAGATTTGGGGATAGTGAAACACTGAGAGACCGAACATTGCAGAGAAGAGCAATTACATATCTAAGCGGTCCCTCTAGGAGACAGGCATACGACTGTGAGATGTCAACAAGCTGTAACGGTAGGAGATCTGGTCATCGAAATACTATACCTGTGTGTGCAGCAACCATGAGAGCTGTTCAGCAGCTTGGTGACCAGCTGTGAAGATGACAGTTCACATGATACATTTAGAGAAAATGGTAGTTAGTGGTAGGGAGATGCTTGTGGTCCTGACACCAAGAGCACAAAGAAGTGTTTGAGAGGTCACGGAAACTAAATTTAGATGAGTTAGGAAAAAGCTTTTGGCCCAGGACCGCTGTGCTTTCTTTAAAATAATTCCAGTTTTCCTCTCAAAGACTACTATGCAGACACGTGTATATAGGGTTTAAAGGGAGCTTTTCAGCTCCCTTCAGGGAGCTTTTGTTGTCCTGCAGCGCATCAAACACTTTAGAGAGTATAGAGAGCTTTTATAAAAGCATCAGCTGCACATATGCAAAATAGAATTATGTGGACTGCCAACAAGGGAACATGGCAGAGGCCTGAATAATTGGTGTTTGTTTTTAGGAGGAAAGCCACAAGCAGCACAGGAGCAGTCAGGCCAAAGATAGGCATTGGCTAGGGATGCTAGCAAAGCAAATCCATTTACATTTCAGATAGGTACTAAAAAGCTAAAGGCAAACAAAGGCAAACTAGAATGCCTAACCAATGGAAGGAGAGCATGACATATTCAGCCTCTCTGAAATTGACTGAAATAGAAAGTGGGATACTTAGGTTATAATCTATCTAGAAATTACATACCACTGAGATGGGAAATAGTAATTCTCTTGGAAATTCCATTTTAGTGGGAGAAAATTTCTGAGGGGCAAGAACTAGAGAGAGAATCTCCACACACCTAAATTGCAGGTCAAGTGAAATTATTTTAACAGAATTTCTTATTTTTCTTCCTTTTTAAAATCAGCCTGATTAAAAAGAAAAAAAAAAAAAAAGAAGGGCTTTGGGGATGTTCAGACATCTTCGCCATCTATCTTGGGCATTTAACAGAAGTGTCTGTGTCCAAGCCCTCTATGTAATTAACAAGGTGGGCAGGTTTCTAAATTATGTGCTCTTAAGGCCCTCTAACACAATTTACCTCTTTCCATTGACTATACAAGAAGCCTAGGCTTTTAGTTCACATATCTCAATTCATTGCCTATGTTATGTAATGTAAATACCATATAGAATATGGAGTGTGAAGGAAAAGCAAAAAAGCAACTAAGTCTAACAGTTTTTTAAAAAGCAGCAGTATACTGCTCCAACTAGTTGCACATGGATTGGCAAAATGTTATTTCAGGACAAATTGCTGAAAGGCAATTTCTCAACAATTCAAATGATGGGTTTTTGAAGGGCTAGTTCTGCAGCCTGCAAAAGAAAAGGCTGTTCTTGACTTAAGCCTAAGCAAGACAGTTACTTGGGTCAAGAAATAACTATAGTTTTGCCATGAAGTAATAATGATCAAATTCAATGAATTCCAACATCTCTAATGGAAGGCTTCTACTGAAAACTATTCCATGGCACTGATTCAGAAGCGGTATCTTGATAAAAAGAAGGAATGTGGTTATATAGGTATTAAAATCAGATATGAAAAAAATTTAAATCCTGAGACTTAGTATGAAGAATATATTTAGGCAGATTATAATCAAGTGACAGAAAGCAGGAAACAGTTTCAAAAGGTTATTGGAATCAAACTCTAATGGTCACATGTTGTCAGTAGTAAACTAAAAATAAATGATCAAAAGTTTTTTAAAGAAAGTATTATAAGAAGTGAATACAGTTATGTATATGTCCTGCTAGGTATAAGTTATCATGGAGTTAAATCAACACAAGACAGTTAGAAAGAAACTTCCCTTGGATGATTTTTCCAACATCTTCTCACTTACTGTAGCCAGCAGTGATGTCTCAGGAGGGGCAGAGTACATTTTGCCAGGGATACTCTTGGAGGAAGCAAGCGCTGTGATCCATTGAAACAATTACAGAATCACAGAATGGTTTAGGTTGGAAGGGACCTCTGGAGATCATCTAGTCCAACCCCCCCCTGCTCAAGCAGGGTCATCTAGAGCACGTTGCCCAGGATCGCGTCCAGGTGGGTTTTGAATATCTCCAGGGAAGGAGACTCCACCACCTCTCTGGGCAACCTCTTCCAGTGCTCTGTCACCCTCACAGGAAAGAAGTTTTTTCTCAGGTTCAGATGGAACTTCCTGTGGTTCAGTTTCTGCCCGTTGCCTCTTGTCCTGTTGCTGGGCACCACAGAGAGGAGGCTGGCCTCATCCTCTTGACACTCCCCCTTCAGATACTTGTACACGTTGATGAGATCCCCTCTCAGTCTTCTCTTCTCCAGGCTGAACAGGCCCAGCTCTCGCAGTCTTTCTTCATAGGAGAGGTGCTCCAGCCCTCTAATCATCTTGGTAGCCCTCCGCTGGACTCTCTCCAGGAGTGCCATGTCTCTCTTGTACTGGGGAGCCCAGAACTGGACACAGTACTCCAGGTGAGGCCTCCCCAGGGCTGAGGAGAGAGGCTTATTCTTATGTTCCTGCAAACAAGACTTAAAATCTGCATCCACAGATATTTTTTTCTTGAATAGATAAATCTCAAAAGTCTCAAACACTTACCAGGTAAACATGATATTTGCATTTCTGCCTGAATCCAGAGTAGGCAATCATCCTTATATTTTAAGGAACTAATCCTCCCTAGGGGAAATTTTCCATTTCATTCATCTGTTGCATGAATAAATTGAAGACAGAATCTATTTATTAAGCCTCTTCAGATCCAAGTAAAGCAATACTTCAAATTTAGTGTAGAATTGGGCCTAAAGAAACCTAGAAAACCCTGTGTAATCAAACAACTTTAAAATAATTATATTTCTGAATTGTATTAAGAGCAAACTATATTGTAAAACTGAAGTAAAATTTATGAATTTGGCTTTGTTTTGGGACTCTGCCATTTAGGTCTCTATTTTTGTTCCTATTAGCTGGCTACGGGAAGTGTGTGCAAGAAAGAAATCATCCAGAAATCAGTTTCACTGTAGAGCGTTTGCTGGATATTACTACAAAGATTCAGCAAGTATTTAACACAAGGAGGGACACGGAAACATACTAGCAGACTAATTCCTTATCTGTAGCAGTTTTTTTTTGTATTAAACCTATATATGCTGCAAGAAAATAATTATACTTGTTTTCCATTCATTCATTGACAGATTACTAATGTTACATTGGAAGATTCTTCTACCAGCCACAAATGATGATGCATTACCACAGTTCAAACTGTTTAACTGTTGTAATATTTATCTTTTCATTTGAATTACATTTTACATGCAGGTTCATTGAATTGTTAAGTAGACAAATGGCTACTCCCCTTTCAACTGCCTAGTAACAAATAGCTATCAAAAACATTTTGAAATTATAATGTCTTGGGCATCAGTGCCACACACACACACACAAAACCATGTATCAAGCCATTTTAAGAAACTACTTTCTTAACTGAAAGAAGAGTTAATTTAATGGTAGGTTTTATTTATTACCAATTTTATAATCATTTGAAGGATGGGAAAACATTAGCAAATTAAGTATTGTGGCTTTTTATCACAACTGACTGGTGTACATGAATGGCAATGTACCTTGCACTTTTGCAAATGCAAAACATTTTTCTAAACTTTATATTTTATTGAGCAAGAGGAGGAAAATTTCGAGAGTTTTGTTCACAGAATTTATTCTAGGATTATTTCTGTGACCCACTTATTTCTGTAATCCTTCATAGGCAACTATGAAGTTTCTTCTGCATAGGCTATAATAAGTCTAATTACAATAATTGATGTCTTTATCGATCCATGAAAAATCATTTTCCCATTCATTCCAGAAAATGAATGTCTTTTTTTCTTTGACTGGACATATCTTGATTTTTGGAACGTGCCTTATAGTCACAGAATCACAGAATGACAGAATGGCCAAGGTTGGAAGAGGCCTCTGGAGATCATCTAGTCCAACCCCCCCCTGCTCAAGCAGGGTCATCTAGAGCACGTTGCCCAGGATCGCGTCCAGGTGGGTTTTGAATATCTCCAGGGAAGGAGACTCCACCACCTCTCTGGGCAACCTCTTCCAGTGCTCTGTCACCCTCACAGGAAAGAAGTTTTTTCTCAGGTTCAGATGGAACTTCCTGTGGTTCAGTTTCTGCCCGTTGCCTCTTGTCCTGTTGCTGGGCACCACAGAGAGGAGGCTGGCCTCATCCTCTTGACACTCCCCCTTCAGATACTTGTACACGTTGATGAGATCCCCTCTCAGTCTTCTCTTCTCCAGGCTGAACAGGCCCAGCTCTCGCAGTCTTTCTTCATAGGAGAGGTGCTCCAGCCCTCTAATCATCTTGGTAGCCCTCCGCTGGACTCTCTCCAGGAGTGCCATGTCTCTCTTGTACTGGGGAGCCCAGAACTGGACACAGTACTCCAGGTGAGGCCTCCCCAGGGCTGAGGAGAGGGGCAGGATCACCTCCCTCCACCTGCTGGCCAGTCTTCCTAGTGCACCCCAGGATACCACTGGCCTTCTTGGTCACTCTCATGTTCGTGATTATGCAGTGATATAACCCGGCTGCCTAAAAATAGTAAATAGCAGTGCCAGTATTTCACCTGAGACTGTGATTATTTTGCATGCTATGTACCCTCTGTGTACTTGGCCAGTACACCCAGTGCTTAACACCCGATAAAATCCTCTGTAGATAGCAACATTTCTAAGTGTATAGGGTGATCCTAGAAGCAGGAATTTTTTTAGGTAAGCAAGAGCTATGCAGGAAATATATTTCAAAGTTATTCTTTTTTGTATTTTAGAGGTGACCGAATAAATTTCTATAAAAACAGAAAAAGGCCCTTTTTATATTAAAATGTTGCATGTATGTGAACTATTGTTAAGATGAAATGCACAGGATGTAATTTCAACAGTAAGGTGACTTGAGGGTAAAACTAAATATAGCTCAGGTTCTCTCTGCAGTCCCTCCAGGAGAGTGGTGATAATACTTCTCCCTTTCCTTTTCAGTTCTTTGCCTCATCTGGCCAAGCTCTTTGGTCTTCAAGCTGTGTTATCAAAGTACAAGCTGAAGAAGTCTCTACCTCACTCCTCCAGTACTTACCCAGTGGAAGCCCATTTCTCTTTCTAGGTATACCACATAACCCATAACATTTCAAAACTAGAAACAGAACAACTAAGTAAAAAATTGTACTGGTTGTGGAGGTAGCGGTCACGATTAAGATCTTAAAACCTCAGGACCTGAATGCTATCGTTGCACACAATATACGTGCAAAGAAAATTGTTCCATAGGCATGTAACACTGGGATGGCTTTCTCCCAGTAGGCTAGTAACTTATTCTTCAGAAACGATTTCACTAGCAATCCTTTCTTTGTTGTCTAGACAGATCATGCAACAGAGCTACTGCTGTCTTTCTGGATACTGTCCATGTGTGGAAACTCTTTAATGTGCATCAGAATAGTCCCGGAGTGCATATGAGGATATAGCTCCTAGCCCTTTTAACTTTAAATGCAAATCCCATGCAGCAGATAAGTACATGACAAAAGTTTGTCTCATTTGTATTTGTTCCAAGATTAATCACGTTCCTGGAAAAAAAAAATCTATGGAAAGCATATTAGTTACTAGGGATCTTTAACGGTATGCAAACAAAACACTTTTATCATTTGAGTGGGTTTCACACACCTATAAAAGTCCCTAGTGTCAACCATGTGCTCAGAGCGGTGCAAAGCGCTGTAGAAATGATGACAGCATACACAGAGGAGTACACAAATGGCTTCGTGACTTTCTTTTCCATTCAGGCACTTTGGACTGTAATAATAATAGTACCTGATAACTTTATTGGGCATATTAGTTTTCTATTTTATGTCTAGATTGAGTGATTTGAAAGAAGTCTGCTCGCTTTAGTGACGATTTGACTGACCAAAGTGCAGACTTTGCTTGTTGGAACAACTGATGCATGCCTCCCCTTGTGCTACTATTATTTTATGTGAGACAGAATGATCATGGTAAGGAAATGTCAGAAGGTCTTAGGAATCCTCCCATTTAGCCAAAATAGCTTTTAGCAGAGCAAACTTGGAACCGAATAAAACTGATCTTTTCTGAGCTATTCTCATTTGGCAGCTACTCAAGGAAAAACAGAGAGGGCAGCTAGTCTCAGAATAAAAGTTAGATTCACTTTATAGACAGTAGGAAGTAGAAACTGTACCTTGCACCTAATAGCACAGAAATATTAACTTTCAGGGCATAATTGCTCTATTTTTAATAGAGACCCCATCTGAGCTCTTTGGTGTAGGCTACCTTGGCTAAGGGCTGATTCAGTGACTCTTTTTTCCAGTTGGCCTAGCTCTGACTAGCAAAACATTCTGGTATTTTCAGTAGTCATGCTGACTTACACAGAGATACCTGTGTACTGGAAGTTCAGAAACATATCAAAATAGTTAGCTAAATAAGTTGGCCAACCACCACTCCCTTTAGGATAGGAAAGGGAACTGAAATTTTTGCGGCTGTGCTTCTGGGCCAGCCAGTCCTGCTGGGGGATGCCTGAAGTTTTGCACTGGCAGAAGGTATAGAGAAATGAACAAACGTCACCGCAGATTCCCTTAGCTAATATTCCTCAGTACTACTGTTTTATTTATTTATGGAGGGATTTAAAATGTACTTTGATGTTAAGCTCATAAAATTCATAAAGGGCATATTTAATAAGCCTCTGAAGAAAAGAACAGTAAGATATTAAACAAGTGTTGATGTTGCTTACCTTGCTGAGAAAAGCTATTGGAAACAACACCGGCTAAATCTAAGTTACATGTTAAGGGCAGCCCTGTCCAGCTCTCTTGTCAGTCAGATGGCAGCGTGCGAGCGGGGGTGAAGAGGTGGCCTGAGCTGTTCCCTCAGAGCACGTGGCCTCCAGCACCTGAGGCTGCCAAGGTGCAGCCGGCCAGTGGCTCATGGGGCAACGGTGCGGGTGGGAGATGGACAGGGAGTACAGCACTGCTCTGAAGACACTTTCAAAGTGGCATAGAAATACCAAATTTTGTCTTTACTGTGGAGGTAATTCACCGGTAGAATTGTCTACACTGTAGATAGGGTAGCAGAGTTACCGCGAGAACGGAAGAGGCGTTAACTCGAGTAAAGGCAGACATGCTGCAAAGCAGTATTCAAACTACACAAGTAGTTGTATTAGCAGAAGGGAGCAGTCCTTACCTCACTATTATTATTGGTTTGAGCATCAGGAACACATGAACTCCAAGCTATGCTTCCGGACAGGCCAAGCTTATCATGTTACTTGAGCTAGAGATCTGTACGTGTGGAGAGAAGTCAGCCTGGGACAACACTGAAACTCAAACTCCTCCTTGAGGAAAGAGAAGCCTAAAGAACCAGATGTATCTTTTACTTACTCAACTACTTCAGAAATATATTTCTTTACAGAGAAACAAGGAATCCAAGATTGTCTTTGTCTGTATTTTGAAATTGCCTGGTTACTGATTATTTAAATTTGTAATTTACACTTTGTCTAAATACTTTAGAGAGAGGATTTATTGCCAGTTATTTTTTCTTAGGCAACGTGCCAGTGTCCTCTTTTAAACTCATGCTTCTGGCTTCAGCTGATCCCAGCACAAATGCAAAAGCTTAGGTGACTTCATATTCCCCAAACAGACCTTCCAAACTTACACTGTGTAAAAGCTTGATATAGCTCCTCTGTATCTATACTGGGAGTGGTTAGGTAAAGCATCTAGACGTGGTTATTGTGAGTACTGGCAAACTCTGTTGCTTTTTTTACTTCTAATGCCAGGTACTGTTTATATCTTAGAACACAGTCTGTGCCATTTGGACACTCTACCTTTTGCCCACTGGTCAGAGAAAAGAAGTTGAGTGAAGAGAAAGTAACACAAACGTGATGTGTATTATGTGTTAGCTAGTTTCAAACCAGAAATTTAAAATCAGTGGAAGACTTTGATTTTTCAGGTCAAATTGATAACAGCTACCTTAGCAATATGGCTAAGAAATTACCGTGTAATACTGCATGCTGACTATTTTGTGCCTTGACCTTTTGCAGAACCCTGGAACACTTAAAATTACTGGTTGAAAATGTTAGTGTAAATGTTAACTAAAAATCCCAAACACCAAAAGGCAATGAATATTCAAAAAAATCCTGTAGAATTTCAGTGGGGGAATATTTTCACAGGTGCATGACAATTAGCTGCCCTGTGTGGCTGCTTGTTAAGAAAAATTACATCACTTCTGTTATAGAAAATAGTATGTTTGCAAAAAGACAAAAACAAAACTACCTTTTCCTGGTCTTGATAACAGAAAAGAGAAAAAGACCTTCCATACTTGCCTGATATCTTGAGTGGTGTTCATTTAAAAACTTGCCTTTCAATCCAAGGACCTCTAAAAGGCTTACTAACTAGTGACTTTTCCACCATTTTTTGTAAGGCTTTAGATGGCCAAGTAATTAACTAGGAGAAATATAACAGAGATAGGGGAACTGGTTTTTATGTTTGCAGCTGAGGTTGGATAGGCTGTGTTGTGTTGTGTTGTGTTGTGTTGTGTTGTGTTGTGTTGTGTTGTGTTGTGTTGTGTTTGGGGACCCACAACTCAAACAGAGACCTGAAATGAATATTGACATTCCAGGCTAAATTCAGAATTAATTCAAAGAAAGAGCACAGTAACCTGCAGGGACTTATATTTGGTATTGCTGGTATGCTCTTGTCCTTTGCTATGTGTGTTTTACCACCTCTTACCGCTCAAACATTTATCTATATGAAACTTGCCCTCTCCTATTTATAAATTGCTTCTGAATTTGATATAGGCCCTTTCCTTTTAAAGGTGTGTGTCTGTTCATGACTAAGCATTTGAGCTGCTGAATTGGAGCTTGTTCACAGTAGACCCACTGACATGCAAATCTTGTTTTTGCATCTGACGTGTTAGAATATGGTAAGTCTAATAGCACAGTCACAGGTAGGCACTGCTTTGGAGCTGACAGGCTGATGACTTTTTAAGCTGCCTCTCAGCTCTAACTGAGAACATGACTGCTCCTAGTTGTTTGCAGGGCAAAGAAGTTCACTTGAATTCCAGCTGCGGTTGCAGCAAACCTCTCTGACATGACCTAAAATGAATTAGGAACACTGGAGCAGTTCTTGGCTCTCCCGTTTGCTACGGTGGCTCAGCCGAGAGAGAGGACAGATTTTGTGCCTTACCCTCATGTCCGCAGGGCAAGAGAGGCAAGCTGAGCCCCCTGTTACATTCACTGCAGCAACCTGCTCAGCCTCAGGTCAGTGCAGGGTTTCTCCCGCTGCGGACATGTGAGCTCTGAGGCTGATGGACATGGTGGCTGGACGTGCTCAGTCAGGCCTGGCATAGCTCCTGTCCCTGCAGGGACAAAAAAAGAGTGGTAAGAGGAGGAAGGGGATGGCAGGAAAATGTGCCTCTTAAAATGTCACATATTATTTTAGCTCTCGCCTTTTCTTAACATTTGTGTTACCTCACTCTAGGCACAAGGTGAGGGGAATGGACTACAGGAAGGGAGGTGGCGAACACCACTGCTGAATAAGGCCCCTTGTGCTTAGCACTGCCCAAGGACACTGACCTTTTTTAAATAAAACCCAAAAGGGAATTTCTGCCAGAACAGTATCATTTGGGTAAAATCAGGTGTGCCTACAAAATACTTAATGCAGTGAAAATACGGAACTGATGAAGACTTAAAATCTCCCTTCATATTTATACAAGGTATCTAAATACACAGATTTTCGCTTCATGCTTTCTTGGTACGTGTTACATTTGAATTAGTAAAAATGAGATGGGAGAAAAGGATCAATCTGAACTAGTAGTGCTCTGCTAGAGGCAAGAGGAGGACTGCATAGTACAGAGCTGCATCACTATCCATTCTGGAACAGCGCTCAGAGACAGAACACAGAACACCCAAGATATGGATCCTCTACTTCATCTTATTTTCTAGCTTGGCATTCATTTTTTCTATCAACATTTCCTCCAACTTTCTGCCTTCTACTCCAAGTTAGACCCAATTCAATAGATGCTTCCAGACATTTCTGGTCAAAAATGTCCCCTTGCAGGAAATGCCTCATTTTTTCAGATTAAGAAATAAAGCAAACTGAGCATTTTCTATGACTATATGCTCATATCTCTCTTATGCATGCTCAATCCATGCACATGCTTTTTGCATCAGCGGTCCTATCACCTGCTATTCGAGATAGGTTACCAAAGACAAATTTGAGGTGGGTGAGTAGTCAATTATCTGCAAGATTGAAGTCTCAGTCGGTAGTTGAACTCATCTGCTCATAAGACTTAAAAAGGAAGGACTATGGATTTAGCTATGATGCTATGTATCAGCAATGCAATCATAATATGTTTCGGTACTCTTACGATACCAAAAGTATGCTGACTCAACATTTTAAATATTATACAACATAACAGCAGCTCAAACAGTTCTGCAGTAGCTTGGTTATATGCTGCTGGAGTGATGCAATATGATACATCTGCCAGAATCCTTTCCTTCTTCCTGCTACAAAGTCTTGCCCTACTTCTGTGTTTCCAAACTTTGACTACTGTGATTCTTCTGTTAAAGCATAAAAACATCAGATTGGACATTGTATTGCAACTACAAATGTCCTAATTCTAGATGTGAATCCTATTACCAGTATTAATCCATAGGCAAAGTAGTTGCTCGGTTGCTCTGAACCATTTTTTCTTCCACAAACAATACAGACAGAAGAAATAAATACTAGGCAACATTTCTTGAAACTTTTATAGGCTTTTAGGTTAGGTTGTTTCTCTTTAGCATTGCAAAAGATTGGTGTCGGTTATTACTATTCAAGACAATTGAATTATACTGGCACAAAACAAGTGTAGTGCATTAAGCACAGAATCCCCTGTATTCCAAGGGAGCCTGTGCTCAATTAAATTTGTGCAGTCTAATGCAACTATGGGCGTGACGCACAATGAAAACAGAATTGCTCAAAACTCAGAGCACATCCCACTTGAACAGATTTACTAATAATCTCCTTTGCTCCATCAAGAAAGCCTGGTAGTAGGAGTTTGAAGTGAAAGTGTCTGCCCTTCTTACCACTTGTACTGTAAAGGTTACGCGGTCAGTGTAGGAACATCAGTTTTCAGGGAGAAGATCTTTCGGAGTATAGTAATTACTCTCTCTTTCAAATTCTTATGGATAAAGAGAAGAGATGACCCTGAGAACAGTGGACCTTACAGACCCAGCCCAGCTGCCCCTGAGAGCAATAGGAGCATCTCTTTTGCCTTAGTGGAGAATCTATCACTAGAGACCACGTCTGGAGAATCACGGCAGGGACCTTCTATATTGTTATGGTAATGTGTCTTCACACAGACGTGATGTGCTTACTCTGGAGCAGGTCTTGTGTTTTTCAGAAAATCTGTCATTTAATTAGGCATGGTTATTTTTAATTAACTTCATTTCTAACATCTTATTTTTATATAAATGATAGGAAGAGGGTTTTGCTGTGCAAATTTCAATAAACTAATGCAAAAAGTCTGAGTTCAGGCACAATCGTGCCTTGGACAGAATGGATGGCATTGAAGCAGTAGATCTAACCATGTTTATGTCTGACCTATTGTGCCGAAGCATTTAATATGTACATGGACAGCAGCCTTTGACCAGGATTTCTGGACATCTGCTATACAACTATGTTAAACAACTATGGGCAGTTTTTTTGTACCTGTGTCTATAGTTATGGCTGATATTATTAACTGGCCTTTACATATAAGAGGGATCGTATATGGCTATCAGAAAAAAAGAAGGCACAAGCAAAAGCATGGACTGTGATTTAGAAAAGCTCAAGTGTGTTATGGGCTACAGTATATATTTTAAAAGCGCTATATGCCATTTAAAAAAGACAAAGGATAGAGGAATGCAATATTACCTGTAAAACTTACAACAGAGGAGACTAGAAGTCAGGCAGACTAGAAAAGACTTTACATACTAGTGAGTCTAAGACTGATCTAGACCTTTTAATTTAGAACAAGATCAACAAGAAAAGGCATCAGCATGCTCCTATGCACAGCATCTTTTTATAGAGATTTGTCAATAGTCAAGAATACGTTTAGACTTGAGAAGCTTTGGGATGTAACATATGAATCAGCAATCTTGTTTTTGGATGAACAGATAGTGAATCATCACTTCTCTTCCTCTATCAGTACCTACAACATATTACATAAAAAGGGCATATTACTTTATTTTCTGGTATTATACCTGTAGGGCATTCATAACCTGATTTTGAAGTTATCAGCCCTGAAGATAAGGTCATTTCTCAAACAGAGACATTCTATTGACCAACACCCCATCCTGCTTTCGAGATTGCTGTGCTATGACTAGCGAGAAGTTTCTCCTTAAATACCTTCTCATGGGATATACAAATACAAACAGTATAAGAATCATGAATATGGCTATTATTTGGAAAAGCCAAGTGTGTAGTGCGTGATGCTTGTAATAAAATGGATATGTCATCTATATGCTACCGTTTTTATACGGAGCTAGAATTTATTTTCTCTCACGCTCATTGACTTTATGACTACCCTGAAAATAAAAGCTAGAAAGGGAGCAACTTTCTTTTCCCATGGGAGAGGGAGAAATTTAAAATTTAGCATTCTAGATGGGATTAAAACAGATTTTTTAAGCTTTATTTTTTAAGATTTTACTTCCCTCCTTTGCCTCCAATGGACAGAATCATAAGTACATCTCCTGTAACAGCCAATTTATGTAGCTAGGCACTGACTGGGTCAGGTGATATCCTGTTCTTGCTCTATCGGTAAGGTCTCTCTCAACCTCTCCTATTAGAACTGTACCACTTTGCATAAATAGATATGTCACAGAGGAATATACAGGTACAGGAATATGTGGAAAGGAACAGGGCCTGGGCCTGGAGAATGTCATGAATGCCATGCTGCTGTGCTGTGTGTTATTTTGTGGCCTCTCCTACTCTCTGTGAAGGGTCCCTGGTAGAAGTCTGTGATAAAGAAAGAAAGATTTTAAAATTGCCGTGTTTCCAAGAAGTGCTCTAAATAAGCATTTTTTCATCTAAACATTCCAACTTGATAACATAGAAAGTCCTTACTACCTTAAGAGGTAGTAAGGAGAGGTAGTTAAGAGAGTTTTTTTTCTTTTTTATGAGGCTGGGAATAAAACCAGAATTCCCTTCCACCTCCATCACACTCAATGCTTTCTCCTTCAGAGAAAAATCCTCAAATAATTCCTTACACCCTTAAATAGTATATTATGACTAGTAACTATTTGTCAGTGTCACTGAGGTCAGATCTGAGGTTTTGCAGTAGAGTGCAAAGTAGATGACCTTGGTGCGTGAACTCTGCTCCCTCTTATGCTCAACATGCAAAGTCCATCCAGTTGCCTGGTTAATGCAATGTGGCTAAAAATAAATAGCCGGGAGGAATGCGGGTGGGTTAGGCTAGCATTTGAGCAACCTTAAGTGGTTTGAAGCAAATTTTTGTTGCTGTGGTGTAGGAGCAGCATGCTGAAAGAGCAGCAGTTTTTTTTGTGTTAGATGCCTTTTTAACAGCTTCAGAAGGAAAATTTGAGAGGTTTGACACACCAATTGCCAGCCTGAAGGCTTAAATGAGATGAGGTAAAATAGTAATGAAAATCTGAGTGGCTAAGTTAATAGAGTAGTAAGCCTTGGGTAACAGTTTAAGGAAGAGAAAGCGGAAGTGTGGTGAACCAGTTTGGGAAAGACTTTCAGCCAGAAGGTGAAATGTAAATCAAAACCATGAGAAGTCACACAATCAAAGTGAGTCAGAATAAGCAGAAAGATGGAAGTAGCAACATGGGTAGAAATAAAGATATGTAAGGTCTTAAAATGTAGTGTGAGAGCAGCAGCCTCCAAAAAGTTTTAAAGTTTGCCTGTCCAAAATTGGTGCGGCAAACAAAGTAAATGATTACTATATCAGCATTTGGGAGGACTGAAAAAGCTTTACACATATTTATGAACGAGTGTCATTTGGACATGGAGGCTGATGTTAAATCAAAATTCCTGAAGGCCTGAATGAAAGAGGCTGCAACAGCCTCTTTCCAAAAGTGCCATGTCTCTTCCATAGATGACGAAAACCATATATGAGAGCAAGAGAATGATTCCCAAAACTGCCACATTTGGAATAAAAAGGAGGGGGAAAAAAAGAGTCCCTCAACCACAAATGAAATATAACCTATTGTACCCTGAAATACAGGTGAGAGAGCTGCTGTTTCCTAAACAAACCAAAGAGCCCCTGGGAAATTGCACAAATTTCTATAAACCAACCTGTACAAAAAGTCTTGCCATAGCAAACAAAGCAGAAATTCTGTTTATATTCTGCAGTGAGAACACCACGAGGCT